TATGTGACACTAGCTGAATTTTATTAAAATATCTATCGTTAAACTCATTTAATATTAAATACTCCAGCTCTTTTCACGCACTGGAGAGTGTGTCGTTAGGTTAACGCGGCGTGGCGCAGCACGCAACTGCGACGGCATCGCGTGCGCCTTTTTACTCCCCTTTGTGCTTGCCACTTCAGTATATCTAGGCTATATATTGCGTATATTTTCGTGCTCTAGCCGTGTGTGTTCCAACACATGCTGATATATCAGCCTGTCGACGAGTTGGACTCGGTGACGAGCGTCTCGAGGCCCTAACGGATTTCTATGTCGTGCGCCAGTATTCGCTTGGAAACGGCTTTCCAAGAACTTAGGCCTAACCTCGTTCGATAACTACACTATGCCCAAACGTTACGTGTCCGTTAGGCGTGCTGATGCGAGAGAACTAAGTGCCCGCATCTTGTGCTTAATACGAACTAAAATAGACAATCCTTGCAGCCTGACTGCCTGAACACTCTGGTGGATCTTGGCTTCGCTTATATCTTCCCTACAAATTCCGCTTGCGTAATGGCGCACAAATGCAGTCACGAACCTACGACTTGTAAAAACAGATATGAGGTAAGTGTGTTTTTGTCGTACTACGCCCGAAATATATATGATATACCTGACATCGGGTGCGTGAACGTACGATTACCCTTGCTCGTTCAGTCGGCATACATAATAGGTCTCCCCCGATCGTGTATACCTTGCCGTAAAATAGCAGAGCCTATGTGCTACTTGCAGCAGAAGCTGGTCCTGCCTTGTACATTGGCCTCGTCGCGGACGGCAAACGCGACTAGTTAAGCATGCAGGGTCGCCGATTTGCGGGGACGTCAGATGCACGGGGCATGCAATGTCGTGCTCAATCTGTTGTCATGTAATCACCATCCTGCCTGGCACGGCGTCTTTCGTGGCGTTTCAGCGTGTCGAATTGGCACTCGTCATGTTCTAAGCAGATCGGCTCGACGGGCGGCTAGTCGTCTATCCTGCAACACTTGGCATGGAGGGTTCCTCATGACTGCACTTTAACTACTTTTCCGGCGCGCCAGGGCGAGCGAATCGATTAGGTCAGCGATATTCGTGTAACACGCTTTAGCGCGGTACTAGCTCCACGGTTGTGGTACGACCTCACACAAATATTGCAGCGTCGCTGGCGCGGCTGCCAGAGCTCGCGGCGCATCGCTCTCTCGCGCGGCCGGCTAGCGCAGTAAGCGTCGAGTAATCATCGATAACATCGAGATCGGCGCGCGCGCATGGCAGGCAGGCGGGCGTCGAGGCAATCACCGTGCGCTGGTCGCGCGCACAGCCACGCGCCGACATGCACGCCAGCGCCGCACGAGCGCCGCTGACGGCCCTCATCGAAGCGACGAGCGACAGAAGGATGACGACGGAGGATAGGCTTGAACATCCTGCACGCTAACAGAAGGGAATAATGCCTGATAAAGAGCCGGGCGCCGAGGAGGCGGACGGCGGGATGAGGAGAGCGCAATATAAACGGAAGGAAGCAATAACGCGGACAGGGAATACGAATCATGAGCTGAAAAACGAGAGAAGAAATCAAATAAACATAGAGGGGCAAAAGAGGCAGTGGAGGAATGTTTAAAAAAAACAAAAGAGAATGTTGACGACGGCTAGGTGAAATCACTGCAATCAGCAAGAAGAGTAACGAGTAAGTAGAAAGACGGTGTATAAAAATACGCAAATTAACCCCATAATTCAGTAAAACAACCATAATGGCGAGGGCACAAAAGTAGCCATCAGATGGAGAAGGTCGACCAGAATAGAGCAAAGCAAATTAAACATATTGAAGGGGGAAGCGAAAAGAGGCATGCAGTGACATGCGCATAGCAGTTGAGATCGACCATTGGGCAAAACCAGTAGCAGATAAACGATACATGAGCGATAGAAATGTTAATTTGCAGAGGGTTGTAGGAGGACTACCTAGTTGACAGATAGTGGTCTGCCGGTGTGTTATACGGGAATACATATAAGGTGTCGTGGAACAATACATAAAGACAGTGCAACACAAGCTAAGAAAGTTATATCGAAACGAACACCGCCTATCTCTGGATCTTATATTTTCCCGCATAGTTACCTTATTGGGCTGTGAGATGATCTAACTACAGATAAGTTTAATATCCCTTACTAGTATGAGGATTTAGAGTAGTACTTTAGGTGAATACAGCGTATATCAAACCCGAATATCCAAATGTCATACGTTAGCTGAAAAAGTGCTAAATCCGGACCACTGAAAGCGCTGCGATACGTTAATATAGTGCGTAATAGTTGAGCCGCCTATATCGAGCGCTGCCTTTTGTTGCCTGCCCAACAATGTTCGACTGCATCAGGAAATGGTCCTTGTTTATCTGTCGCTGGCGCGGGCTGTCACACAGCCGTATGAAAGGCCAAGGGTGGTGTAGTACCGACGTATGAAATTTGGTGAAGAATATTTCTTCTCTCTCCGATCAAGTATGATAGGCCGTAAGCACCTGTATAAAGTTAAGAGCACGCTGCAAGCACGCTGAAGCCACGGCTGCGTATACGTCGTCAGTACGCGCGAGCGTCGTCAGGCAAAAAGTGTTGCTGCATGCCCCACACAAATTGATGGTCGACGGTATTAGCCAGCGTCTATGCCATACCGTCCCGCATACGGGGCCTATAAAACCTTAATAGGGTAAAGTTATCGCGAGTCCGCTTGACCACGTTATAACACAACGTATACTTGTACCCATGTACTCATAAGTCGAGAATACGGTCGAGTTATTAAATGTCTAGCGTACCAAAACTTATTATCGTTAAAGCTATGGAGTAACGTACTTGTGAACCCTGATGTGTAACTTATCTCCAACGACATATTCGACTGTATGCTAGATTCATTTTGATACCAACATCTGTTCGACACCAACAGCAAACTTACTGAACCGCTGTGTTCTAACCTCTAAGTACGTATTAATGGCGTATTGAGCGTTTAGAAGTACAATTGAAACCGTGGGGTAGTATACAATCTGGTATTGCATCTGGTTGATACTGCCCGACGGTGTGATGTTAAGATACTACGATTGTCTAGGTCCTGGTTAGGATGTTGGAATCGTATCGAGCGGCAGCTTTTATAGACTACGACAGCGTGATTGTGCGTCGGCCGATACGCATGCGTCGCTACTGCATTAAGTTAGCACTATCCGTTGGGCATAAGGTTAGTGAGAAGCGGCTCGGCCACACGCTCCCTAAAGACAATCGTTGGATATAAGTTATCTATAAGTTATCGAAACGTTCTAGTAAATAACCGTTTGACTGAGACGGTACTTGTATAACGTCCAGCTCCTTGATGAATACGCACATGTTATACCGCCCAAAATAAAAATAATCATCGATAGTTCAGCGTATGAACCAGCCTGTTTAGAGAACTTTAGATGATGGACGATCGGCAATTACGCCCTGGCGTTCAATCGATCAACGCCGATGTCGACCAGGTGTGACCATTACGCGACCCCGAAAGACAACGCGAGGTTATGGAAAACACAATTACACGATTAACAAACGATCACAATTAAAACACATTAAGATTACACTATTAGAAGAAACCACATAACTAAGAAAACATGCTTACTAAGAAAAAGACTGAATTTGCTTCAAAAAACTTTCAACATTGTTAACTCAGAACGTGTCAAGCCGATCATAAGGCAAGAATGGAAAAAGCACCTTTTGACAAGGAAAAGACGACAAAAAGAGCGGCGAGAACACATATGTTCCACGGCAGGCAATATCTCCGTTCCGCGGTTTCTTCATAAACCTGTAAGCACACATTTACGGCGGTGGCATTATTGCGACGAAAATCACAGCGACGCTTAGATATTTGGTAACTTTAAACTTTATAACTCGTTTTTGGCTAATTTTTGGATCGCTATATAGAAGAAGACGTCTGCTTCTAGTCTACCTTTGCAAGATGAGTTGCCTAGTATCAAGACCAATCAGAAGTTTATATTCAGCCACAACAACACAATAAGACGTGGGAACCGGCGGAAAACCGGCGTTTAATATCGTGCACGTTTGCTATTAGCCGCTGCATGTGCAAAAATGGCTCCTGTCGAATCTTCTTGTTGTATCCGTTCAGTAAATTACAGTTGCGAAATTTACGTCTCAAATGCCCCGTCCCCCGGCGGCTGGCTCGTTGCCAGCGATGAATAAACTGGTGAATCATGCTCTCCAGATCGCCCAGCTGATATTGCTACACTCACGCGAGCGAATACGGCCGCGGTCAAATCTAGATCCTGCCTACGCTACACATGTCTACGAAATAAAATGGCCAGCCAAGCCGATAAACCCATGATTCAGGCACGGAATCTATCTCATTCAGCACATCCCTGTGTCAATGTCGTGACTAGTAGCAGTAGTAAAGCACAAGGCATTTTGCTCTGACTACGTGCCCGCAGGCAGACGTTTATAGCATGAAGTTACCTACACCTAAAACAGCACGCCGCTCGTTAGCAGCCGTACAATTCAGCTGCCAGCCGCGAGCAAGACGTGTTGCCAGACGCGGCGATGGCACCGTTACCACACGCGTCTGTCGCTGAACAAAAGTCATGGCCTTCACTTCGATCAGATCACATCATACACTATATTAGTAGAACTATATATAGTCACTCATTATATTTTATATGTAGTATTATATATATCCCAGAGAGAGAGAGAGAGAGAGAGAGAGAGAGAGAGTGGAGAGATTCTAAATTAAATGTGCGGTACGTTAAAGTGGCTAGATATAGTAAGACGAGTCATAGATATAGACGAGTAGTAGATGAGAGATATAATAAGATAGTTAGTGAGACGAGTCATGGATGACTGGGGAATTAACTGCTTCCAGCATGCGAGCTTTTACGCCGCCTAGGCCGTTTGTCGGCGCCATTTCGTTCCGCTGCCTGTCGATTTAATAAAGATTATACATCGATTTTAATAAACTCCTCGGCTATCCTGTACCGCATTTCGATCTATCTCATGTGCTTCGACTGATGCTTCTTGTCGGTAGGCCATGCTATCTGCGGCATCTCCTGAATGTCAGCCGATGAACTGATCACTACCTGTGTCTCGTCTGATTTACGTCGTTTGCAAGCGACATCTTGGATAATTATTACTACCAATTCAACAAACTCCATGATTGTCATCAGCGAAAATCCGATGCAGAGCCCAAACGTTCCTCCTAATTCAGCCATCAGGTTTTCCCACTGGAAATGGTAATCGAAGGATTTCAGCTAACTACTACTTAATATACGCTCGTGACAGCGACAAAGGACGCTGTGGGGTCGTAGATCGTAGGGTATTAGCACATGCAACTTACAACGTGCAGGCGCATAGATATAAATCAAGAGTAGATAATAGGAGATAATAGGAGATAATAGGAGATAATAGTCTTCTATTATCTACTCTTGATATAAATATTACTAAACAATTATATATATATATACAGCTGCAACGACTTTACGTATCTGCTACTATTTTTCTTGTAAACGGTCGTTCAACTATATTAGGCCTACTTTACAACCAAGGTAGACGTCTATCATGATTGTTGGCACAAATCAACTAAATTCATCCATACCCAGTAACCAGCACGTAATATCGACTTAAATCTTTATATATAACGAATGCCGGCTGCCACGTTTTCGGTTTACGTCACTCACACTTTGTTTTGTGCTGTAAATTCTCAACCGATAACAGCAACACTGCAAATCAAGCAAACATGAGTACGTCGACGAAGCTACATACCACTACAGTACCGCGCCTATGGGTATAATTTTACAGGTGTATGACTTACTAGCCCTTTGACCACTCCTGTCTAAAGCGGGCAGCACACTTCATCAAGTGTGCTGCTAGCTTTAGGGCAGTCTTCAACCCTCCCGAGAAAGCTCCCCAACCCTGCATGAGAACGCTCCCTAACCCTGCATGAGAACGCTCCCTAACCTTGCATGAGAACGCTCCCTAACCCTGCATGAGAACGCTCCCCTATCCTGCCTGCGAACGCTCCCTAACCCTGCCTGAGAACGCTCCCCAACCCTGCATGAGAACGCTCCCCTACCCTGCATGAGAACGCTCCCCTACCCTGCCTGAGAACGCTCTCCTACCCTGCCTGAGAACGCTCACCAACCCTGCATGAGAACGCTCCCAACCCTGCCTGAGAACGCTCCCCAACCCTGCATGAGAACGCTCCCCAACCCTGCCTGAGAAGCGTTCATATCCCTGCCACCAACTCATATATACTAGACAACTTACCGCGTAAGCTGGCACATCAGTGATATTGTAGATAATAAGCTCTTGAAAGTAAACATTTACCTTCAGGAAGTTATTTCTGCCGAAGAAAAAAAGTAGCATTAAATGCGTGCGGTTCCCACGGTGCATTAATTCCCCACGGTTTACAAGACTTGCGAAATTTTAAGTAAAAAACCATACAAGAGGAAACGTACAGAATGTAGATTGAAACTACAGCCATTATCTCACCTTGCAATATTCAGACTTGTGTCAAGTATTTGGATTATTTCCTCCGTCATATTGGTACCGGTGTTATAGTTCGTTCCAGTTTCATTTTGTGACGTTCCATTTCCTTTAGGTAAATGTTTAATTGCGATAATAAAAAATCTTCTATAGTAACTGTCTAAAGGTTTGCCAATTTTTCACAATAATGGGATGTTTTGGTACCTATAATTATAATTCTATTTGAACATCATAACATTTAGCGTAGCTATAATCTATTTTGTCTGTGGGGGCAAAGTCAATCCGTGGTGTGTTGTGGGAAGGTGGCCGCCATTGACCATGCAGTCAGAAGTAGATAATAGAGAATTCCCTATTATCTACTTCTGATGTAATGTATCTACATTTATCTGGGAGGGGGGCAACTGTGGCACTGATAAGTTTATAATTATATCCATAGATACCATCCTCAGTGGTAATATGTGGTAATATATTGTATACAAATTGCAAAGACTGCAAATCAGGTTGAACTTAATTGTCACATTTAACATATCATTGTGGAATTTAACATAATTCTAATCCATGAAGATTAACTAATGCTTCATGCCACTTGTGCCATCGTCATGTGTAATTTAAAGCAAGAAAGCAACTCGTTCATCACGCCTTATGTTAAAATATATGTCTTACCCAGCGAAGAGTCTGTGATGAAGTCATAGCCGTCTGCAGACGCTGTTGTATTGGATTCGTATCCGGGTGATGTTGAATCAGTGGAAGGCGTACCTGTTGATTGTTAGTCAGACTGCGTTGTAACGTTAGCGTAAATGTTAGTTATAATTTTAGGTTACTCTGCCTTTGGCAAACTATATCATAAATCTACCAGATTCATCTTCATCTACGACAGAGGAGTATGTAAGTTTATGCTAATAAGATAAGAATATGTAGGCTAACGAAATAGAGAGTATAGGTTATAAGCTTCAGCTATCCTGGTTTTGTGTCGTTTTTGGTGTTAGATTCGGTTTAAAATAATCCAGCAGATGCACCTTCATTTATAACAGGTAATTAAAAGTCTATGCATGCGTGGCTAATAGAGTTTGGCTATTGCTGAATAAAGCGCCTTACTTTGGTTATAATCTGTGTTGCTCTCGTAGTCCGGTGTCGTTGCATTATAGGTTTCGTGTATTTGAGTGCCACCTGTTGATTGTAAGTCAAACTCTGTTATAATGTCAGCGAATCCCTTGACCCTTAATGCTACAAATGCATCCGTTAACGTTTAGATATGCTGTAAAAATCTTAGGTATAGACTAATTTTAGCATGCACGTTAAACGTCGCGGCAGCGGCCCGCGTCTGCGGTCGGCTTGAAAGTAGTTAAAGGGACAGTAGCCTCTAGGATTTTACTGCATACAACTGTACTTACTGTATAACAAATTGTCTATACCCACACGTATTTGTTACCAGATACCTAATTTAATTGTTATAATTAATTACACATCAACGCTACGAAATTTGAACGGCGCCATGACACCCGCGACCGTGCTGCCACCCCGAAAATGTTGCGTATTTGACAATATATTTTGCACGTTACAGACCGAGGGCTAATCACAAAAGTGCAATTATATTTATACCTAAATGCTATTTAACCGAACGATATTCATTTTTGGGCAAATTTATCCATATTATAACTGAAACTATATGTCGTTTATAAGATATTACAATCCTTTTGCTTTTAAATGAATAAATAAGAAACACCCTCGGTCTGTAGCCCTTAATTGGCTGGAAAGTGGTTTTGCGCAACTTATCACATCGTGCGCATTGAGTGGCGCCACCGTCGTTGTAATCAAACTGTAGTCGTTAGTTTTAAAACATTAAAAAAAAAAAATTCTAATGGTGATTGAACCATGAAACTTTTTATGTAGCGTAATTATAACCTAAATTAGCTGAAAATAACCCTACAACCTAGAGTAAACTCTCCCATTAAGCAATTGGTTGGGCACATGCTCCCCATTTGAGTTGTGTAAATGCAGGATGAACGTGGAGCGAGTACCCGACGTTGTGGTTGCTGTTGATGTTGATGTTCTTGATGTGATGTTTGATGTTTGATGTTGATTTGATGCTGTTGATGTTGATGTTGATGTTGATGTTGATGTTGATGTTTGATGTATGTTGATGTTGATTGTTTTGATGTTAGATGTTGGATGTTGATGTTGATGTTGATGTTGATTTTGATCAATCATATTCAGCATCACCTACAAAATCGGACTAATATATTGTGATTTCGTTTTACGTCACTAGTTCGTGAGTATTGTTAATTAGTTTAACTTCAAACCACAGTATAGCGTATTATCAGCTCATCTGCGTGCCGTCGTGCACCCAAGCCAGTGTGCCAAAATGTAGGTGGTAACAAATGTATCTCCAATCGATTATATTGCATGTACGTATATTTTAAGTGACTCTCTAATATATTTAGTGCGGTTTAATATTCGTCAGTTATAGTCGAGTCTGTAAATTTTCTGTTTCAATTTTTATGTAGTCGACTGTTTTTACAGATATCATGATTGAAGTTTTCTGAAATCACTACGGCTACTTCATCAGCTCGCCAAGTAATCGTTTCAGTTGACTCTAGAATCGGCAATGTTGGTAATCGATTAATCAGACATTTTGCAATAGATTCAAACTCGTAACACTTATTTAGCTTCCGGATTAGATTTGAATTGGTTTTGTACAGTTGACTCACTAATCGATACATGCTTAAAAGGTTAGTTAATTAGTTAGATAGTGAGTGAGTGAGTGAAGTGAGTGAGTTAGTGAGTGAGTTAGTTAGTTAGTTAGTTAGTTAGTGAGTGAGTTAGTTAATTAGTTAGTTAGTTAGTTAGTTAGTTAGTTAGTTAGTTAGTTAGTTAGTTAGTTAGTAGTTAGTTAGTTAGTTAGTTAGTTAGTTAGTTAGTTGTTAGTTAGTTAGTTAGTATTAGTTAGTTAGTTAGTTAGTTAGTTAGTAGTTAGTTATTAGTTAGTTGTCTTGCTATTTTTTCAGCTAAGGGACACTTTAAAAATAGCGGTGTACATATTCGTCCCCATTTTAGAGATAACCTTGTAAAAAACGAGATTCTGAAAAATTCCGCACTCTGTTTTAAGGAAATAAGGGAGATTAAAAAAAACATGATGATTACTTTCCTCATTTTCCTAGAGCGAACATGAAGGCGATTAGGCCTACTGCAGCATAATAATTGCCCTAACCTCGATTTTCGAGAAACCTACTAGAAAAATAACGACATTTTATCATTTCACTGATCGCGATTTTTGTAATTAAATACTCATTCTCTTAACTCTTGGAATGGAAGTCGGATACGTGCTATTTAGCTCTGAAGTCCCGCCCGCGTTTAGAGAACGCGTTATTAGCCAACTATTGATTATTACCGACC